GAGGCAGACTGCTGCCTGTCCCTTTGACTCAACATTGACTGTCTTGACTAGGATAATGAATGTTCTAATTAGAGAGGCGTCTGCTAGCCCAAAATCATGTCTATTTCAAAATGAAGCAGGGAAGGATATATAGGAAGAGAATTCCAGAAGGAAAACACTTTTTTTCTTGTTCTCAAAACCTATACTCTGAGTCTTGTGACAGGGAGAAGTAAAACTGTGGTATGAAATTCGATTAATTGATCAAGATAATTCTAGAGCAGGATTTTCTAGATCATTTAATAAATATATTTGTGCTCTTAGGAGTATTTAAGTTTTGAAATTAATATTGCATGGCCAACATCTTTTTATTAGTGTGCTTTAGAATTTGAAGTCTCAATCTGCACCTTAAAAATGTTCTCTGTGAGAGAAAAAGAGGAACATTTTAAAATTAGAGTGGAGCATATTTGCATCAGTAGATTTTATTTTATTTTATGGAGAAATATGAACTATAGGTTTCAGTAGTCCTGCACAATTATTTTGCTTTCTTCATTCTAAAGAGGCTTCCTAATTGTTTTAAATATTAATTTCTGAATGCTGATATATTTATCCTTTCACACAGTGATTATAGGTATCTTATTTTATCCATAACAGAAGATCCATGATGAAAAGTAAATTATTTCATCTGCTGATTTAGAGAGCAAAATGGCTCTGTATGCATATCACTACATAGTTTGTATTCTGGCTCATGGATCCCACCCCCCAAATTCTTGTATTTCCAGAATTAATAAAAGCAAATACTTATTATTTTTTTTACATTCTTATTTTTATATCCTAAGATCCAAAGCTAAAAGCAACCAACAGAAACTCCTTTGAAAGGATGGATTGATTAATGAAATGTTCTATCCACCTGGCCTCAAATTCCCCCCTGAGCTCTTGGATCTCTGTTGGCCATGTAAGGCATACTGTTTTTCCAAATTGGGAACTTCCAGTTCTTTCAGGACATTTTTTATGCTTCAATGAATTCTCACATCGACACTTTTAATTTTCTGTCCCAAACTTTCAAGGAAGACTCCATAACCATTCACCATACAATATGCCCCAGTTCTAGAAGTCAAAGCATTCTTCCTAAACTATATTCTGCTCTCTCGTGGGAAAAACGGAGAAAAAGAGTTTCCCAGTATTGGTTCCCCTACGGGCAGATTATCAAATAGTATCCTTTCAATTTCACCAAGCTTCTAGTCTTCAAAACCTCCTTTTATTAGACAACGATGCCATACGTGTGTTACACAGCCCGTTTCCTATTTTATCAGTTGTCAAGAAGCTGCACGTTCATTTTTGTGCAAAACAGAGTACACATTTTTAGTATTTGCTTTGGGATACAACTATCATACCCTCTTCATCATCACAAGATTAATATTTCTTTATTTTATTGGTCCTATTTCATTTAAGTCTTTTATCATGAGGTGTCAAAAATCCTTTTTGGGCAGTAGCTGAGGTATAAAATACATTGATAAAAGAATTCATGAGTAAAGAGAAGATAGAATCCATCACTCTTCTGCTAACATACCAGTAGCGAACATCGAAAGGCTACATTAACAATTAGCATGTACTATATTGCTATATATATATATAATTATACATCCATCTATTTGCCACCTTGATTTTGAATTCATTGGCAAATTTAAGGGATATTCATGTGTGGAGTTAATATTACTGAACAGAGCTTTTGAACTGAGTTTTTAATTAGAATGATAAAAAGTTGCTTTAGGGCAGTAATGAGAACATCACAGGAAAACTGAGCAATCGTGGGTAACTCTAATAGCAAACAAGTGCAGAAGACGTGAGAAAACCACTGGAAGTTACATCCACACTGAAGGTGGGAGTCATTCAGACTGTTTATTCCTACGCGCACACACACACACGTGCGCACATGTGTGCACACACCCTTCCCAATATGCACACCTGACTATGAAAATAAATAAGCAGACCCCTCCACTAACGATTTTATTACTCTATTTTAGGCTGGGGCTCAACTTTTGAAGCTGATGAGCAAAATAGTTTCCCATAAAAGATAATTTCATTTGCCAAAATGAAACTACTTTCTGTTATTAATGCTGTAATGAAATGGCCTGAAATATGAATCAGTGATCTGAACAGGAAGGATGCTCCTGTTCCCAGCTCCAGGAAGGAGTTCTCTAAACAATTACACCCACGGAGTGGGCTGTGCAGTTGTATTTTCATTACTGGCCATTTGAGCTGTGTGGCTGTCATACTTCCCAGTCTCCCCTCCAGTGACAGCCGCATTGACAACATGTTATACTCCACATTGATTTTACAGTTAAGGAGCTGATTGTGATATATAGGGATTTTAAGAATTCAGCTGAGAGGCTGACTTTTGCCTTTTATCATTCCATTAAAATTTTATAACCATCTTTTTCATGTCATTTCATCCATGAATTCTTACTTTAGAAAGTGATAGCTACCGCTGTGAGCATAACTTTTCTCATGTTCCGAGCCTTTT